CTTTGGTCACTAAACGAATTGTTGTAAGTGGAGGACTACCTGTATTAGATTTGCAGCAATAGAAAGATGGAAAATACCTTAGAGAACAATCAGTTGGAACACTGGGCAAACAGAAACCAGATCAATTTCAACAAGGACAAATGATACGAAGCTAAGGTTACTCCTATGCTTTTCTATGGAGCAGAGGTTTGGGGTATATACCCAATTACAACACTAGAACAAACATAGTCCCAGCATCTGAATTGTATTTTGGGCGTAGATCCAAGAACATCTGCTGCACTGGAAATTCGTACAATTCATGCTCTATCCAAAATCAGGACATATAATTACTGGCATAAAACTAATGAAATGGAGAGTGATAGACTCCCCAAGTTATGTCTACTAGAGCAGATAAAATTACAATCACAAACTTCCTGGTTTACTAAACTGATAAATTTTGTAAGAAGCTGTGGCCTTCCTGTCTCTTGCGTAACAGGGGAAGGATCTAAAAATAAAGCTGCCCAAAGAATTAAGAATATTGAAGCACAAAACGACATAGCCATCCTTAGTAAGGTGGATAACTTGAAATGGCTGAGCAAATACAAACACACTTTTCAAGCAGACACCTATTTGAAGTTACAACTGCCCAAACATCTTAGGGAAATATTCACGCAAGTGAGATTTGAACAGCTTGACGCAATGGTCAGATAAGAGAGATTCCACTCTATACCTCAGTGATGGCGAATCTTTTAGAGACCGAGTGCCCAAACTTCAACCCAAAATCCACTTATGTATTGCCGGGTGCCGAGTGGGCGTGGCTACAGTGGTCATGGCAGATGGGTGGGTGTGGCCAGGGTGGGCGTGCCCAGCCCGATGTTGCTTGTGGGGAGGGACACCTGTGAGGGCCGGGCAAAGGTCTCTGACGGGTGGGGCAGTGGGCAGGAGGCTGGGTCTGTGGGGTGAGGTGAGGCAAGGCGAGGCAGGGCGGGGGTGGCTGCTGCCTGACACCATCGGCCCCCGCACACACAGGCCAGCAAGCACATGGGTGCTAGGATGCATCCGATCACGTGGGACCTCGGCGAGTTAGCAGGTAGCTGGTTGAAGAGGACGGTTGCCATCTCCGGGGCACGGCACGCGTGCCCACAGAGAGGGCTCTGAGTGCCACCTCTGCCACGTGTGTCATAGGTTCACCACCACTGGCCTATACTCTAAACGGATGACCCATTGGGACCCCCATATCAAAATAACTTACCTTATGTACGGCCAGAACTTGAAAATTACATTTAACACAGCACAATACCTGAGCAAAATGGTTCGGCTGAGATCGGCATATGTGAGACTGACTGGGGTAGATTGTAGGGGGGATAGTGAAGTATAATTTTATCACATTTTATCTATCTACATATTAAATTGCCATATTTGATTCTAATTTCACTTTAACAATGTATTTTATCCCAATTTCATTTTAAATTGTATTTTATTTCTATTTTATCCTAAATTATATTTTAACTAATTCCATTTTAAATTGTTTTTACAGCATTTTAGTATAACGTGTGTTTGGAACTCTGCACCTTGATATGGCCCACAGGCTAATCAATAAAGATTATTATTATTATTATTATTATGGATCATCGCACAATCAGCCAGATGTTCAGACTGGATTTGGCATTTTGTCTACCTATCGAGTCCTTACCCAGGACCTGGGATAGGCAGATGTGGATGTTTGATGGTATTACAGGTATCGTCGCAGGATGGAAGCAGTTCCTAGTAAGGCCGCCTTTTGCAATTGACTAATAGCGAATTTGTCAATGCCAATGGTGTTCAAGTGGTGCTCCAGTTGTTTTGGGATTGCACCCAAGGAGCCTATGACTATTGGTACTACCCTTGCTTGCTTTTGCCACAGTCTTTCTATTTCTATTTGTAGGTCTTTGTATTTTGTTATCTTCTCCAGTTCTTTCTCGTCTATTCTGCTGTCTCCAGGCACTGCCACGTCCACTATCCAGACTTTTTTGTCTTCTTTATCGACAATTGTTAAGTCTGGGGTGTTATGTTGCAGGTGCTTGTCTGTTTGAATTGTGAAGTCCCAGAGCAGTTTAATTTTATCATTTTCTATGACTTTCTCTATTTTATGATCCCACCAGTTTTTGCTTACAGACAAATGATATTTCTTGCAGATCTTCCAGTGCACCATATTATTATTATTATTATTATTATTATTATTATTATTATTATTATTATTACTATTACTACTACTACTACTACTACTACTACTACTACTACTACTACTACAAATGAAGAGCCTCAAATTCTTGTATGAAAAACTAAATATATAAAGGAGAAGGGACTCCCAATTAATAGCTGTTCATGCAAAAGGATCTGGGTATCTTCCAGAAATACAGTGTCAACATCAGAGTACAGAAAAGCAGGGTTGGAAGGACCCTTGGAGGTCTTCTAGTCCAACCCCCTGCTCAAGCAGGAGAACCTGTACCAGACAAATGGCCATCCAATCTCCTGTTAAAAGCCTCCAGTGATAGAGGTTTTAAGTCAGGTTTTCTTTCTGTTATCCATTGGCTAGACTGCTCTAGAACATTAAATTCTATTCTGGGCATTTTTTTGAGAAGGACACTCGAGTGCTTTTGGAAAACAAGTCTACAAGAGGCATACAAAACCAAACGGATGGGGAATGTTTGGAGACACCACGCAGCGTCTGGAGAAGAAAAGATTAAAGGGAAATAGAATCACTATCTTCAAGTCTCTGAAAAGCTGCCACAAACAAGGTGCAGAAGTAATATTCGGAGTTGTCCGGAATACAAGACAAGAAACAAGGGGTTCCAACTGCAAGGGAGTAGATGTAGTTTGAACCTCAAGAAGACTATCCTAACCTTAAGAGTTGTTTAACAATGGAATGGGCTGCCTTGAGAGCTGATGGACTTTCTTTTGCTGGAGCTGTTTTCAACATAGGCCGGCCGGCCAGCCATCTCTTGACAATACTGTAAGAGCAGGTTACCGCTTGGGCAGCCAGATGAACTAAATGACCTCGAAGGCCCCACCAACCCTGATGTTCTATCATTCTACAATAGTATGTTTACTAAAAGGTGATGCTTCACTGAAAGTGCTAAGAGCAGCTTTCTATTCACACCCAGTGCTTCTGCTACCAAGTACTGTGTGTACAGACCCTACAGGCTTTGTCACACAATGCAGGTATTAGATGAGGTACAAGTGTACAATAAAACAGCAGTATTTGCAGAGCAAAACAGTGGGTAGCTCTCCATACCTGAAATTGTTAATTCTCTGATGAAAGAACCAGGCTGAAGAACTGATAAAGAACCAACCCCCAAAGGAATACTGAAGTATGCTGTGCAAAAGGCCACTGCTTATTTGATCAGGATGTTATACCACAAGAACTCCCAAACTATTTGCTATAAAAACAATTTTACTAGCTAGCTGAGATATGGCAGATGAGGGATGAAGAAACATGGCGCCCACTTGTTCCTTATGCCGGGCCCAGAGGAGAGAAAGACTCTCTATAGGTGATCCTGATCACTGGACAGGATACTACTTGTACCCCAGTTCAAGTCAGAACTAACACTCCAAACCCAGTTTGGAACACAAAGTCACCAAATGCTTGGGGTAGTACAGAAGTATAGATGATAACATGCCATGTTTCCCAAATTTCTGAAAGCTGAGCCGTGGCTTTTCCTGCACTGAAAAGGCAGGCACGCTTCATCTTTCTCTTCTAAAAATGAAGAATGCAAACACAGCGACTTTTGCCTGTATGAGCTAGAAGGGCACTTTTTGCACTCTGAATGGTGACTGGAGCGAAGGTGCCTCTTGGGAGGAGATGCTGGCTGCCCCTCTGCATCTAGTAATAGTAGTAAAGTTGGAAGGGACCTTGGAGGTCATCTAGTCCAACCCCCTGCTCAGGCAGGAAACCCTACACCATTTCGGACAAATGGCTGTCCAGTCTCTTCTTAAAAACTTCCAGTGTTGGAGGGAGGGAGGGATGGAGGGAGGGAGGGAAGGAGGGGAGAGGAAGGAAGGAAGGAATGAAGGGAGGGAGGGAGGGATGGAGGGAAGAAGGGGAGGGGAAGGAAAGAAGGAAGGAAGGAAGGACAGAATAACAGAATTGGAAGGGACCTTGGAGGTCATCTAGTCCAACCCCCTGCTCAGGCAGGAAACCCTACACCATTTCGGACAAATGACTGTCCAGTCTCTTCTTAAAAACTTCCAGTGTTGGAGCATTTACTGCTTCTGGAGGCAGGTTGTTCCACTGGTTAATTGTTCTCACTGTCAGGAAGTTTCTCCTTAGTTCTAGGTTGCTTCTCTCCTTGATTAGTTTCCACCCGTTGCTTCTTGTCCTGCCTTTGGGGGCTTTGGAAAATAGCTTGATTCCCTCTTCTTTATGGCATCTTTATGGCATCTTTATGGCATAGTAATCTAGGGGTTGTACCCTTAGTCAATATTAGAAGTGTTTCAGATTAAAAATATCCTTTTTTTTAAAGTCTGCAAGTGTTTTGAGTTCAGAGTAGCGTGTCTCAGATTCGAAACAGGTCCGTTTTTGAAATACTCTCAAGCATGAGACAAGCAACCGTTTCCTGCTTGGAAGAGCTGAATTGGGGCATTTCAAGTTTGAAATAGGTTGCATTCAAGACACCTGCCTATCTCCAGATCGGAGATTCTCAACCTCGGCAATTTTTAAGTCCGTGGACTTTAACGCCCGCCCAGAATTCCCCAGCCTGCCCTGGGAATTAAAGTCCACATATCTTAAAGTTATTGAGGTTGAGAAATACTGGATCTAGGTGACCCATCAAACTTAAGATAGAACAAACAAGCAAAACAAGTGAAAGCAAGTCTGTGTAACGATTCTGAACTTCTTTGAACCCAAGGATGTTATTCCAATTCAGGAATGAATGCTGTATAAAATACTCCCTTCCACAAGAGAGGCAAGGCCTTTGGGGGGGGGGAAATTCAGGAAGGCCTGGCTCTTCTCAAGCGACCCAGTTTGCATCTTCTGCACTTACCATCCATGAGGAGCCAATGCCCAGTTAAGACCCAGATAAGGACGAGCAACACCGAGAGCGAGAAAGAGAGCAGCTCAGCAGCAGTGAAACGCCCACAGCATCCAAAGGAAATCCTGGAAAATATGGACACAGGTTTAAGGTCCTCTCGACGAAAAGAGAGAAAACATCTCCAACGCCCACTGCAATGCACTCCAAGGGCACCAGAGCACAAGAAAAGCGTCACTCAGAAAGGCCAGTCCTCCAAAAAGCACTAAAGGGAACCCCAAAAGCTCTTTTCAGATCAGCCAGTACAGTTCTGCCTTTCAGAAGGTGTCCATGTAATAGAAGGCATGTAATAAACACGATAGCATGAGGGTATCAGACCTACTTTCCAAAGCAAAAGCCCGGCAATGGGGCCACAGCCCAGAGGTTGGGGACTCCTGCTGCAAAGCCCTATGGAACAGTATCTAAGTCAGTGGTTCTCAACCTGTAGGTCGGGACCCCATTTGGGGCCGAACGACCATTTCACGGGGGTCGCCAAACAACGCAGTCCGCCATTTTTTTCCCCCTTTTCCTTAGCTGTGCTACTCCCTTTTATTCTGTTGGCTTTTGAAAGCCAATAGAATAGACTCTCTCGAATAGAGTCTAATTCTATTGGCTTTCAAAAGCCAATAGGAATTGTCCAGGCTGTCTCTGCCCTGCTGAGCCCGCCAAAAGTCCCATTCTGCAAACGGTGTTGCACCAGTTGAGTAGTCCTCGACTTACGACCGGTTGAGTAGTCCTCGACTTACGACCGGTTTGGGGGGGGGGTTGCGGCATTAAAAAGGTTGAGAACCACTGATCTAAGTCTTAAGTGCTATTGCTATTGTAAAGGCCGATGGGGCAGTATCTGAGTCTACGTGCTATTGCTACTGCTGACTTTACAAGTCCGAGGTGCATAAGGGTTGTCCCCATTAGCTGGGCAGATGAGGAGAGTGCTCAAAGGCTCCTGGTGGGCATCCCTGTGCAAGGGGGCTGGCTCCGTGTGCTGCCAAAGGAAAGGGCCTCTCAAAGGCGCCATCCCTGAGCCTTTTTCTCTTGGGAGAATGTTTGTAGTTTTATAAGCAGGCCCAGAGAATCTGTCATGCATCTCCCACTTCAGGATGATCTTCTATTTATTATTAGATTCTTATCTTGGCTTCATTATCTTTATTAAATAACTCAGAGCAGTGAACAGATCTAACACTCTATCCTTCTCCTATTTCCTTCACAGCGGGTTGTGGGTTAGGCTGAGAATGTGAATGGCCAAAGATCACCCAGCTGGCCTTTCCTACTTTTAAATTTATTATTTATTCTTTCTTATTTCTTTTTTTTCTTCTTCTTCTATTCATGAAGAACACCGTTTCAGAGGAGAGCATGGATCCAATCGGTCGTGTACGCTGGGGCAATTTTCCCATGGCCCTGCCCAAATTGAAAAGCCAATGCTAAATGATGGTGTAGAACTGTAGCAGTTCTTCTCTCCCTGAGGGCATGGCAACCAACAGAAGATGGCCCATCGCATGGGAAGGGTCTGCTTGTGAAATGGGGGTGGGGGGTGGACTGGGATCGTGGCCTGACACAGTTGAGTATGCCCCCCCCAGGCCTTGTTCATCTCTTTCCCCTGGACTCCAGGAAGTTCCTTCTCCTTCAAGCAGGCCTTTGGTGTCTGGCCATTTTTTTATCCGAGTAGTTAACAATTTTTACTTATGCGGTTATATTGTAATTGTTTTATAAAGATGTTTTTACAAAACAACGTTGTGGGATTGGGCCAGCATATGACTGACAGACAGATGTTTGTTTCAGTACTGATAAAGGAGAATATTTTGTAGCTCAAGGATGAAATGAGGGGTCTTGGTGCTCTCTGAGCTTGGCAGCCATTTTATTTTTTATCTTTTATCTTTATCTTTTCTGACAGCCATTTTGTTACCCAAACTATGCAACATCATCAGTTCTAGTAAGGAGAGGGGTTTGCTCCCAGTTGATGTTCTAGTGCAGGCTCAGGAATTCTGGGACTTGGAAGTCCACGAGTCATAAAAGAGCCAAGGTTGCCTACCCCTGTTCTAGTGGCTTCCCTGTCGGTGTTGGTGGGGGTGGTCTTAGAAGATCTTTGGGTGGGCTGTTCACTGTTAGCTTTTTTTTTGGCAGTTTCTTGGTTGGGGTATTCTTTACTTCTTGACTGTTGGTCTGATGTTAATCTTGGGGTCAATCAATGCTCATCTGGGTATTGACTACTGGTGGGGAGGGGTTTAGGTCTTTTTGTCGAGGATGGTCACAGTTAACATCAAGCTGATGTTGCCTAGTTTGAGTAATGAAACATCTGCAAGAAAACAACCAAGCTCAGGGGCACCAAGGACCCCTTGTTTCAGGATTATCTGCACACCAGCAGTGTCCCACATTGCCAGGGAAAAGGCGGTTTGGGTTTTCTTGTCTGACACCCAAAAAGAAAGACCACCCATGGTACCTGCTCTGCATGCATGAAAAGCCCCTGAATTCATCGCTAAGATATTCCACTACCAGTGCAACAGGATCGCTTAATGACACAGAAGACGAGCAAACGTCCTTCTTACTTGTTTTGAGGTGAACAAGGTCGTGTTAAATACTGACACATCGGGAGCAGGAGGAAAGCAAAGGCGATTGTTGCAAGGACTGCAGAGAAACAAAAAGGGGGGGGGAGGAATGCCATTATTGAAAAAAAAAATCCATGAAAAGCAGACATCCATAATTAACTCAAACAATTTTGTTTTTAGAGTCCTGTTGTTGTTTTTTTTGAGAAACAATATCCGTATCCTCAGGACTTGCTATTCAGTGTTTTGGACCCATGAAACAAATACTTTCTCAAATGGAGAAACATATGTGACATTTGGCAGAAGACCAAAAACCCTGCACAGTGCATCAGAGGCTGCCTTTTTGTGACTGGCCCCAAGTTTCAGCCCACAGACTCAGGGTGACTAAGATGCAACTGGGAAAGTTTAGCATTGTCATCAGCACATTTTGATCCTAATCTTCCAAGTTCTTCTCCGCAGCTCCACTGAAAGAGATAGGCACCTGGGGCTCTTGCGGAGTTTCTAACCACTTAAATATAGTTTTGGAAAAAGTGTCTCCAGTGCATTAAGTTGTACTGTTATGTGTTTCATTTTAGCTGTTTTATTCTACAGGTTTATGCCCACCCTTCAATTTCATGGTGGTTTACAAAAAAAAAAACATTACTACAGTAAAAAGGTAAAACAGAATCAGAGCAATGTGTAAAAAGCAGCATAAAAACATCAGATGTATAATAAACACAAAATGATCTTAAAAATAGCAGAAATAGGTGAGATCAGGCATTTGCCCCGGGGGATGGAGAGGGGGGCGCATGGCAGCATCACAGCCTTGTTAAGTAGTTCCAAAAATCAAGCAAAAATCAAGGCTTGACAAATTCATTGTGCCCAAATCGTTTATGCTGCAACTCCCAGCGTGCAACTCACTTCTGTTCACGCCGGCTGGGGTGGACAAAGTAAATATGTTTGTTCAGCTCCCTTGGATACACACACAAGGCTAACTAGACTTTTGGCAACTATTAGACCAAGTTTTTCCAACTGATCCTTGGAACCCCAAGTTTCTGTGAGAGGTTAAGGGTGAAAAAAGCATGATTTTGCCAACAAGCCTGGGGACGCAGAATCCATCAAGTGGTTGGTTTGACAGTTGTCACCAGGGTAGGTGGAGGTTTATTGGGTTTTGTACTGGGAATTTATTTCTGTAAGCTGCCTAAAGTCATTGTGAGTTGGGAAGCCACGAATGTGAAATAATAAAAAAATAGAATAGAATAGAATAGAATAGAATAGAATAGAATAGAATAGAATAGAATAGAATAGAATAGAATAGAATAGAATAGAATAGAATAGAATTCAGAATGAATGGAGTGGAGTGGAGCAGAGCAGAGCACAGCAGAATAGAGTAGAATGTAGAATCTTATTGCGAATAGAATAGAGAGTACAGTAGAGTAGAATCTTTATTGCAAATAGAACAGAGTAGAGTAGAGTAGAGTAGAATAGAACAGAACCTTTATTGCAAATAGAATAGAACAGAGAATAGAACAGAACAGAATAGAAATAAAATATCAAATCTATCAAATCAGTTTCCTCAAATGCAACCAATTTCTATCACCAGCACTGCATTTCTTGATGAGGGCTTCCAGCTTCTGGATCATGAAAAAGGCGGGAAACCTCTCCTTCAGACAACCAGCCTCACCTGCTGTGCATATTGTAAAAACCACCTGAACCGAGTCAAAGAAGAAGAACATAACCAGGAGAGACACCGATGCCCCAATGGGCAGGAAAAGCGCCTGGGTCGAATCAATGGTCTGGATACCTGCAGGGTAATAGGAGGAAAGGCAACGATTATTTGGCATCTCACAAGAGCCACAATCCTCTTGATGCCACACAAACAAATAAAGCTAAAGTGGCAACTAGATATGCATATTTTTAAAATGCAAATAGGAAATATTCAGAAGAGGAGAGAAACAAGAAATATAATACAGATAGTCCTTGACTTATGGCCACCATCAGGAGCAGAAATTCAGTCACTAAGCAATGTGGTCGTTAGGTGACATCTCACATGACCAGACCCAATTTTATGGCTGTTTTCGTAAACTTCATTTATGGTGTCCATTTTCACAATGAAGTTGAATCGCTGGGATCATTAAGCAAATCCGGCTTTGTCAATTGATTTTTTAATCCAGCCTGAGAAGGTCTTATTCACTTTGAAGTTCATGATTATTTTTATTCTAAATCTGTTAATTGTTAATATTATAGTTTCAACGTTTTTATTTAAAATTCTAATAACTAAAAAAGTTGCAGTCCAATAGGAGACAGTTCAATACTTTGCACTGACCTATTTATATACTAACATCTCTTAAACCAGGAGTCCCCAATCCCCAGTCCGTGAACCAGCACTGGACCACAGCATGGCAGAAACCGGGCTGTGCAAGCAAGCAGGATGCAGGCAGCACCCGAAAACACGCACTCTCCAGTCCACGGAAAAACCTTTCTCCACTGAACCGGTCCCTGGTGCCCAAAAGGTTGGGGGCCACTGTCTTAAACTAAAATTATTAAAACTGGAATGAACCCCAGTACATTTCATAGGCCTTTCTTCGAAGTAACGATGCATTGTATTGTATTACTTGTAGTTTCCAAGAACAGGATACTGTTCTTGAAAACATTTCATCTATATTTTATAGACAACTGAACTGCTACTTCAAAATGAAATAACCATTATTAACATCTGTTAGAAATGCATAATTTTAGATCGATTGTATTAGTGCCGGACGAATGTAATTGTTACCAGGAAAGGTAGTAAAAGATTTATAAAACCTTAATATTGTTCTACATGTCTAGTTCATGCAAGGTAACCCGGATGGGCTAAATTTCATTTTAATTCCTCAACATGCTCCTAAAATGTGTGATTTATTATAGGTGGGCCCAATCATGCAGTCATTTTTACTGTCTAGACCAGGGTAGGCAGCCTTGGCTCTTTTATGACTCATGGACTTCAACTCCCAGAATTCCTGAGCCAGCCATGCTGAGGGGACAGGGAGAGGTTTCCAAGCTGAACCATGCTGGCTCAGGGATTCTGGGAGTTGAAGTCCACGAGTCATGAAGGGGCCAGTTTCCCTCATGCTGGCTCAGGAATTCTGGGAATTGAAGTCCACGAGTCATAAAAGAGCCAAGGTTGCCTACCCCTGCTCTAGGCCCTAGGGCAGGGGCAGGCAACCTTGGCTTTTATGACTCGTGGACTTCAACTCCCAGAATTCCTGAGGCAGCCATGCTGAGGGGACAGGGAGAGGTTTCCAAGCTGAGCCATGCCGGCTCAGGAATTCTGGGAGTTGAAGTCCACGAGTCATAAAAGAGCCAAGGTTGCCTACCCCTGGTCTAGACCACTAACATGGGAAACAAGAGGACAAAACTGGACAAACCAGTTACTCTCCCCACAGGACTAAGCGCTAAGCTTTCACTGACCTCACTCTGCCAGATGGCTTAACTCAGAATCTGGATCCTCCTAAAAACATCTCATCAGCAGCTTCTGGGACTCACCGGCACTCTGGTTGCTTCTGCCAATGCTGAACCTTACACAACGTGTGATCACCTCTCTGACTTTTATTTGGAGTGTGTCATTGTGGCCTTCCTTTTATTATCTTCCCCTTTTCACAAAGCAGCTCGTTTTTGTATCTTGCATACACCAGCACTATTTAAAAAGAAACATTCAACTAAGCTGTTCCTTGTTTTCTGTGTTTCTCACTTTGGGCAAAAAAAAAAAAAAAAAAATCTGGAGTCCTTTCCTTTTTATACACTTTTTGTAGAGCTGGGCAACGCGGAAGGCTGCTTGGACACAGGCCTGGGCCCTCCTGACCCAGCTGAACAGACTGGCTGCAGTCGAAAAATATCTTTTGGGGGAGCCTAACCTTAATTCCTATCGGGAAAGCCCCGCCCCTTTCCATTAACAGATTTTTAAACATCCCAGTTTTGCAGAAAGGCCCTCTGTCCCATTTCTTTCAGTAGGGCTACCCTGGAAGCTGGATTGGCGGATTGTGGGAAGCGGCCAGTGCTAGTCGCAGTCTACCCCCAAAAGCAGCGTTGTTATCTCTGCTGAAAGCTGGCCTTTGAAGGAACCATCTTACTGTTATTGGCGCTGCTGCCATTGAAGGCTCCAGCCGAGCTGTTGCTGTCCTTTTCCTTGTCTTGATTCTCAAAGTCCATGTTCAGGGACCTGTGGAGAAGGAGCACATGCAAAATATATCTGCTTTACACCTGAAAGGGCCATGACATTGGTGTCCTTAGATCAGTGGTTCTCAACCTTTTTAATGCCGTGACCCCCAACCGGTCGTAAGTCGAGGACTACTCAACTGGTGCAGCACCGTTTGCAGAATGGGACTTTTGGCGGGCTCAACAGGGCAGAGACAGCCTGGACAATTCCCATTGGCTTTTGAAAGCCAATAGAATTAGACTCTATTCAAGAGGGTCTATTCGATTGGCTTTCAAAAGCCAATAGAATAAAAGGGAGTAGCACAGCTAAGGAAAAGGGGGAGGGGAAATGGCGGACTGCGTTGTTTGGCGACCCCCGTGAAATGGTCATTCGACCCCAAATGGGGTCCCGACCCACAGGTTGAGAAACACTGCCTTAGATGGAATATCTGTACTATCAAAACATTTTTTTTTAATTTGTACCCACATTTTGGTAGAATTTTCCAAACACCTTACGCAAATAGTAAATGTATTAACAAAAATCAATTATGCAGAAAATTATGAAATTCTAGCAATGTAAATGCTAGCAATCACGGAATCAAATTTAGTAGCATAATTCATCAAATTATGCACAACTCTTATGCACAAGAGTTATTTTTGTTTTTATTCAGAATTTGTACCCTTCCAAAGACATTTTTTCTAGGTTTGCTATATAGAAAGGGAAGCAAAACAATGAACTAAAATATAATATTATAACTATATCAATCATAATAGCAATATAAAAGCAATATGAAGCCAGTTTCAATTTTCAGATTTAGTTAGGATCACCTGTACATTCCTAGGGAGATCATTCTGCAGCTGAGCAACACTAATAAAAAACATACTTCTTCTCAGGACACTTGCAAGACAAAATCATCTCAGATGGTGAGACACAACCTCTTAACAGATAATGGAATCCAAGAAGATTTTCAACAGATCTAGTGCCCACCTATATAGACTCACTAGACTCTAAGGTCTGAAGAGACATCTGAAGTTAGTCTTAAATATTTGGCCAAGTCAACGCCCTTAAACGCACACAGTTGAATTTTATACTAAACTGGAGTTTATAATTAAGATTTAGTATCAAATCAAATCGGACAGCCATTGTATTTGATCTTCTCTAAAGCAGGGGTCTCCAACCTTGCCAACTTTAAGACTTGTGGACTTCAACTCCCAGAATTCCCCAGCCAGCTTCACTCTCTTCAAAGGAGGAAAGAAACATAATGCCTAACCCCTAATCCTATAGAAAGCAGCAACTGCTCTTAAAACATAGAACACAGAATAATAAGAGTTGGGACCTTGGAGGTCTTCCAGTCAAACCCCCTGCTCATGCAGGAGACCCTATGCCAGTGGTTCTCAACCTTTTTAAAGCCGCAACCCCCAACCGGTCATAAGTTGAGGACTACTCAACCGGTCGTAAGTCGAGGACTACTCAACTGGTGCAGCACCGTTTGCAGAAGCGGACTTCTGACGGGCTCAGCAGGGCAGAGACAGCCTGGACAATTCCTATTGGCTTTTGAAAGAGAGAGTCTATTCTATTGGCTTTCAAAAGCCAATAGAATAAAAGGGAGTAGCCACAGCTAAGGAAAAGGAGAAAAAAATGGCGGACTGCGTTGTTTGGCGACCCCCGTGAAATGGTCGTTCGAACCCAAATGGGGTCCCAACCCACAGGTTGAGAACCACTGCCCTATGCCATTTCAGACAAGTGGCTGTCCAGTCTCTTCTTAAAAACCTCCAGTGATGGAGCACCCACAACTTCTGAAGGCAAGGCACCTTCTTGCCTTTGTTTTCAAAATGGATATGGTCCACAGCTTTTTTAACATATAGGGCTTATCCACAAGTAGGGTGGTGATCTATCTCCCACTTGACCATAACCCATGTTGCACTGCTATTCTGGTGGTCATGGCTCTGGCTGTACAGTGCTGGGGAGTCAAAGCCAAATCTGTTACCATTTCCTCTGACGTGAGGGTTTGAGAGACACCTCCTCTCTTAAGTGTTTTGGTTTGCTTGGAGCCATCTTAAGCAGTTTTTTAAATCCCACATGGTCATTGCCCTAATACAGCGGTTCTCAACCTATGGGTCGCGACCCCATTTGGGGTCGATTGACCATTTTTCGGGAGTCGCCAAAGGTGGCGATCCGCCATTTTCTGTGGCGCCGTGCACGGGGGGCGCCGCCGCGCACGTGCGCTGCGCACGGGGGTGGCCCCACGCATGCGTGTCGCGCGTGGGGGCAGCGCTGTGCACGCGCGTCGGGGCGGCGCCGTGCACGCACGTCGCGCATGGGGGGCCGTCGTGCATGCGCGTCGCACATGGGGGGTGCCGCCCATGCACACCGCGCATTGGGGCCCCGCCCCCATGCGTGCGGCGCTGCGCATGCGCAGAACGTTTGTGTGACGGGGGTCGCCGTCACACAAACGTTGAGAAGCACTGCCCTAATAGCTAGTGATGGTGCCTCATGTATCCACCTAAGTAAGCTTTGCACTCTATTGGGAGGGTGGGACCATCTTTGGATGACTGACTGACTTGGAGACCAACCAAGGTTCTAATGGGATTGTCAACGCTAGGATAGCTATCCACTTATTCCCAAATAGAAATGGGTTCTGTCCAAATCATCATCATCATCATCATCAAGAAATTTCAGATCCAGTTTAGACCAGACAGGGAAAGCAACTGACTTTCCCCTGTTCCTTCTGGTGCTACTAGTAAGTGTTCGCAGAATCCATGTTTAAGGTTCTTGTTGGGTTTTCCATCTCCATGTTGTAGGAATCCAAGTTGAACAGTTTATGGAAGTTATGTACCTGAATGCTGTCTCCATTCTCCTCGTCATAACACTGTCCTTTTCACCTGGCTATTCCTTTTGACCTGGAGGTAGGGAGAGTGCACTTCGTCCCCGTAAGAAGCCTGGCCTTCCCTGGGTCTCCTAGTAGGGATGCCTGAAGTTCACTGAGTTCAGTAGAGAGAATGGAAGAATCCAATCTGGAACTCTCTGCTGACCTCATTCACCTTTTACTCATCTGAGGGCAGAAGTGGGGAGTTGCACCCACCCAGAACCCCCCCCCCAGCATGGTAAAAAGCTGCTTTCTACTAATCTGTCTGGCCAGCTGACGAGAAACAAAGGAGATGATCTGTCTGTCCCTACAAGGCATCCCTGTACATCTGCACAGTTTGGGGGTTTCTTTTCTTCCTCTTTGTCTAAACGTTTCCCCCCTCTTTTTCCTGTCTTTTTTTTTTAAAAAAAACCACATGATCTATAATGAGAAGAAGTTCTTCCTTTTCTGCAGAAGTAAGAGGAAGGCTGAAAAGGAGGGGTTAGCCTCCTCTGGATGACAAGTTTTAGCCCTACCTTCTGGCCTAGGAAACAAATTAATTTTCAATCCGAAGTTTTTACTTGAGGCACAAATGACCAAGTTCAAATTATTACACTTTGAACACATTGTGTGAAGACCTAGATCTCTGGAGTAGTCTATAATACTTGGAAAGGTGGAAGGAATAGAGAGGACAACCAGCATGTACAGACCTTCCTGGAGAGAAGCTCTGAATGTGGTTACTAAGAACTGACACAATGGCCCATAATCAGCCAATCAATCAAGTCATAAAAATTGGAGTTTACTTTTACTCTTGTTTAAGGCTCTGTATTCAAACATCCAGTATGTATTGGTGTAAATGGTTCTCTTTATTAGAGTAATGCTTACTCTAATAAAGATATAAGACAAGTTAGTGTTCTAGCCCTATGACAACAACATCCCAAGATGCTCTAGACACTCAAATGTCAAAGATGCATGATAAATGTATTAATATACTCTTATATGCTGACAGTACGGTTTTGATGGCAGATTCCCAAGTAGTCCTGAGAAGAATGCTGCAAAAGCTAAAAAACCTACCATGTGCTCTTTAAACATCACTAAAACAAAATCTAAAGTGGTGGTATTCAGCAAAAATAAAAGTGTGACATATAACTGGCTGCTGGATGAGAAACATCTTGGATAAGTAAATTCTTTCACCTATTTAGGAATAGTCTTTACCCAGTACAGATAAGGCACCTTTGGAACAACCACGTCCTTGGATGACTGAGAATTTCCATAGATAATTTTTTTGCTACCAGCCTTCATTGAGTTTTTTTTAAAAATGATTTATCTGCCCATGCCTCTGTGTTGGGTAAATGACTGCAAAAACTATAAATCCTTCACTCTGTCCGAGTGAAAAGTCGTGTAACTTTGAACAAGTGTTAAGTGAACACTTGTAACTCAGGGATTATCTGTACTAAACTTATTTTACAGCACGGGTTTTCCACCCAATGCTATCTCAACTGCCTCCCATGCAGAGTCCTAGTTATCAGTTTCTAAACAGACATGGAGTTATTGGGGGAAAAATGATTTTTAAATTGGTTGGCTAAAAACAAAACTGCTTTCCAAACCAAAAAACACCAGTCAATAAGTTTGACACAATACCTAAGAAGAACAAGATTTGAGTTGTTGGATTCCATTGCCAAATACGAGCATTTCCGTTACTTGTGATATCATGAGAAAATGTGTATATGTGTTGCCCCACATTTATTTGATTATCAACTGTATGCCTTTTTAGGCTTAGATATTTAAAATTCCTACTTGAAAGAACAGCCCACTGGGGCCTGAATTGTAGACAGCCCTATTTCCTCTGGGGCTCTAATGTATACATAGTGAGCAGATCTGCTAAGTTTACAGACAAGGCAGTTCAGCTAAGAACTCTTATAATGAACAGATCAGACTATATACTTTTTAAAGGTTTTAATATTTTACTCATACGCTGCCCGGAGGCCTCTGTGAGGGAGATGGGTGGTTTCTAAATTGTGATAAATAAAATAAAAATAAAACTGATCAGAGTATCATGTAAAAGTGGTTAAGTCGCTTTGCAGAGTGAGATGGGCAGCATTTAAATTATATTAAATTAAACTACTATGCTTGAATGTTGATTCTTTGTGTTTAGCACATATTTTATCATTGTATTTTCTTTTACCTATTTTAACTTTTTCTTTTACCTATTTTAACTTGGAAGCCTAACTTGTATTTAATCTTTATTTTTTTAACTGGTCATAAAACTAATCAATCAATAAATTATCTACCTAGCTACCTGCGTATCTTTCCTGTAAACTTCCTCTTCAGTACATCAAGAATAGCAATTTTAGAACATTTCAGTTCTTCCCCAAAGTATCTAATCTCTGTGAATTTAACAAAAGCAACACTGAAGAAGAGCAGCAACTGCACAATGCTGTGTTATTTTGAGATTTCCCAGGCTTCTGCAATAGCTCTGGAGTCTTTGCTTATTTTTTTCTTAGAAATTGAAGGAATGTGTTCCCTGAATTCATCTGGTGCATTTCAGATAAAAGAGTCAGATTGCAATTTTTATTACAAGTTGGATTATAAATGAGCCTTAAGAATAAATTGACAAATGCTTCAATTTTCACCTTTAAATAAGTCACAATAAAAGTAATGGCTTCTTCAAAACCTTTTTTTTTTTTTTTTTAATCTTCCATGAAAGCTTCCAGGAACAAGTTACATGCTAAATGACTGGCTCTTCAATTCTGGCCTGCTTTGCAATTCTACATTTCAGGGAAACAGCATCAATATACATTCAACAGACTGGACTTGCTGTGTGTGTGTGTGTGTGTGTGCGCGTGTGTCGTTACACAAAAGGCAATGACCTTACCTGAAGCTGCCGTAAACAATGAGAAGAATGGAAATTAGGAACGTGGATACTTGACTAGAGTCCACAAGGGAATACGCCCTGGAAGGCAAGAGAGAAACAGCGCATTATAACAATGAACCAGTCCAATTTAAAATTTGGATCATTCCAAAATTGGGCACGAGGTTTATCTAAAATTCAGAATAAGCCTAAAAGTACCGGTGGCAATGTCCAACTTGTCTATTTGCTCACCCACTCAACATTCACCCATTTACAGGACCCCAGGACCCCAAAGGCGGGCATTCTGGGAGAACTAAGCGCCCTATTGCTGGAACAGATGGGCTACAAGGATGATTCACATTCCAGGACAAAGGCTTCACCTTTGTCTGTTGAAGCCGAGGCTCAACACTGCAGATGCTGTCATTTGAAATCCTACACCAAAAACAACGCTACAAAAGTGACCTTTTCCCAGCTTCATGATTCAGAATATAAATTGGGTCACAATACAGAGGATTTATGCAATCGGCTTCAGGTTGAACTTCACAGCACAAGACCCACTTCTCCAGCATTTTCAATCATAAAAGGAACGTGTCCATGTCCGGCAGAAAAGCCCAACGAAGTAAAACAACAGAGACATGGGCGATCTCTAATGTAAACTTTATTAGGCATAGCGTACCGGTAAGATAGGAGCCGAGGTGGCGCAGCAGTTAGAGTGCAGTACTGCAGGCCACTTTAGCTGACTGTGTTCAGCAGGTCAGCGGTTCAAATCTCACCGGCTCAAGGTTGACTCAGCCTTCCATCCTTCCGGGGTAGGTAAAATGAGGACCCAGATTGTTGGGGGCAATGTATATATATATATATATATTATATATCATATATATATATAATATATATATATCTATAATATATATATAATATATATATATATATGGTTTTCTGAGGTTTTCGCGGGTATTTTGTATGTAGGTCTTTGTTGTTCGGGTTTTCTCCCACGTAAATTGGAAGTGTCTTGGCGACGTTTCGACGAGTCATTCGTCATCTTCAGGCAATTTTACGTGGGAGAAAAAAACCCGAACAACCAAAGACCTACATATATATATATATATATATATATATATAAATATATATATATATATATATATATATATATATATATATATATATATATATATATACACCTTGAATGAACACCCTGTCAGCCCAGATATGGGAGAAAGAAATCTTTCTTTTCTTTTCTTTTGCCTGTATCAGCTCAATCTAGAGCCATCCACAAGCAGCAGTCACTAACTGCGACATCATTTTACATTTTTAGGTTTTTAGGTTTTGCTAACAAAGAATAAAGAGAGAATGGTATAGCTATTTCGGGTTCCTTTAACCCTCATCAGCCAAACTTACTCTTTATTCTTTGTTAGCAAAACCTAAAAATCTAAAAACCTAAAAATGTAAAATGATGTCGCAGTTAGTGACTGCTGCTTGTGGATGGCTCTAGATTGAGCTGATACAGGCAAAAAAAAAGAAAGAAGATTTCTTTCTCCCATATCTGGGCTGACAGGGTGTTCATTCAAGGTAAAAATCTCCTCCCCCTGTCTCTCTCCTGGTAGCTAACAAAGTGGGAGAGAACCCGTGGCTCAGAGGTTATAACATCTGCCTAACATGCAGATAGCCCAGGTTCGAATCTCAGAAGAGTAAGTTTGGCTGATGAGGGTTAAAGGAACCCGAAATAGCTATACCATTCTCTCTTTATTCTTTGTTAGCAAAACCTAAAAAACCTATATATAACCTATATATATATATATATATATATATATATATATATATATATATATATATATTTGTTTTCTGAGGTTTTCGCGGGTGTTGTATGTAGGTCTTTGGTGTTTCGGGTTTTCTCCCGCGTAAAATTGGAAGTGTCTTGGCGACGTTTCGACGAAGTCCCATTCGTCATCTTCAGGCTGGTGTTTTTCAGCTTCGTGCTTCGAGCAGCAAATTTGCTGTCGAAGCACGAGCTGAAAAACACCAGCCTGAAGATGACGAATTGGGACTTCGTCGAAACATCGCCAAGACACTTCCAATTTTACGCGGGAGAAAAACCCGAACAACCAAAAGACCTACATAATATATATATATATATATATATATTATATGTACACACACACACACACACACACACACACACACACACACACACACACACACTGCTTACTGGTGTACACCACTTAGAGAGTGCTTGCACTTAAAGCGGTATATAAGTCTCATAAATAAATAAATAAATAAATAATAGAAGGAAAGCTAGCTCTGGCAATATGGCGGGAAACAGATAATTAAAAGGCCAATTAATCTCCCAGCAATTCTTATGAGAAGGAAACTTTGGTTGGCCAAAACATCTCCTCAGCGGCTTCGGCTCTTACGCTGATAGGGAGCACCTGTGGATCCCAAGCGCTTCCCTCCCCCCTTGCAACTGTAGACAAGCTAGAAGCAATATGGCAGTCCTAATAACAATAAATCTTTGTAGCTTGACAGAAATAGTGCTGAAAAAATTAATTCTTACTTGTGCCAGGTAATATTTTTGTTTGGCTCTTCAACTTAATATCATCAGGGTGATTCTCATTAACTCATTAAAGCACAATATTTATTAAGAAAATGTATTCACAGCAGAACGACAAGAACTATAAAACTTATAAGCTAAAATAATAATGTGGAAAATACATCTTTCAACCCCTCTCTTTGTGGGAGAGCCCAGGTTTTAGTTTCAGCAGTGATTTTTTTTTTAAATGATGTGAGCTCTGACCCAGAATAAAATGAATTAGCTACGTGGCATCAGCAACAGGCGTCCACGTAGAGATTTATTAAAAGTACCCTATTGTACAAATACAATGCAAACTAATAAAGTACAAATGCATGCATCAGCAAAATCAAGAGTCATAAAATTAGCAACAAGGAAAGAAAAAAGGGGAAAAAATATGTTATACAGAGAAGTCCCAAATCTTTGATCAGATGCCCCACCCCCCAGAAAAGGCTAATCAAACCCTGACACATATCAGCAACCAGTCTGAAGGTTGAGTCATGGCAACTGAACTTATTTTTCTTCTTAGTTTGAGATGTTTGGTGGGTCAACTTCAGGTTTCCTCTCCAATCATCATATTTCAATGCACTTTGGGGAAGAAACCCCTGAGGTTGGTGCGCGAGTTGTTAGTACATCTAAGGACTCTCTGCCCAACTAAGTAGCTCTGATTGATGAAGCTGCTGTTTGGATGAGCAATGTCTCAACCTAAGAAGAAAAATAAGTCCAGACTCAACCTTCAGACAACTTTACTTGGCTGGCTGAGGATCTTCATCAAGATATCACCAACCTGTTTCTGCAGATCAACTACTACTCTTTCCTGTATTGCATACAAAACCTTTTGGCCAGATTTATTCCTGAAAAATCCACAGCTAAATATCTTTATAAATTCCAAGTATGTTGTCCTTCCCATCTCTTAATAGGAATCCTGCTTTCCACTCCTCACACTACGTGCTCGTGGCAGTTGCTTGTTTACATTTTCAGCCTTCCAGCCCTGTGAAGCTCTTGCTTACAAGTGTCTCACCAACTAGACAAGATGTTGCTGTGCGGACGAGGCAGTAGAAGAAGAGTTCGTGCTGGTTTAATCAGATTTTCCCAAGCTCACAACATCCAGCTGGGTGGGAACTTAATTCCCATCAAACTCAGCCACTGTTCCCACTATGGATAAAGTTGCACTTCAGTGTATTTAATGAGCGCCCATTGGGCAAGGTTGTTTGGCATTGTAGAGCATATGTGAATACTTAGCTGGGCTGCAGAAAACTGATGGATTCCTTGCCAAGAATAAAAGCAGACCATAAAAGTTTCACATCAAAAGAGCATAGTTCTTTTAAAGCATCTGCTCAATAACAGAGGAAATGTACACAGATCATTTTATGGGAGAAGTTTTAAATGGTATATATATATATATATATATATATATATATATATACAGCCCACTTCCTTCTTTAAGTTCTCAGAACAGAGATGAACGTTACTGTATATAGTCTCCTAAATTGCAAACGGCCCTTCCGCTCAACTCCCGATGCAGGGGTGGAACCCCACAGATGACGAGGTGGCTGCAGACACCCGATGCACCCGATGAGCATGAACTTCTCTGGTTTTTTTTTTTTGTTAGTTCATGTTTTTGGGTGAGGAGGGTGAAATGAATTAGGATGAAATATACTTGCATATCTTTACGTACACACACTGAGAGAGAAAGAGGAGAGAGGAATGAGGAAGAAGAGGGAGAGAGAGAGAGAGAGAGAGAGAGAGAGAGAGAGAGAGAGAGAGAGAGAGAGAGAGAGAGAGAGATGAAGATGAGCTGGCAGCCACAAAGAAAATGATTGTATTGAGAGATAGCTAAATAGTAAGTTATTTGGGTAATGAATGTGTGGGAAATTAATTTGAAGAACAATTCATTTGAGATAAATTAATTTCCAAATGATTTGGGGAAATTAATGGTTTGTTTGCTGTGAAATGAACGCTCGGTTGGAGGTGACCAGTTTCAAAAGCAGTGAAGTGATCCTGGAACAAGTCAGACTTGCAAACTTTTGTTGCACAGTTTGACTTTTATGAGGTGAGCATTTTTTATTACAAGTGTCAGGCAGCTTAGTACTGTCTTTTGCTCGGTTTCCCTTGTGGAGAAACGTTTATTTGCCTCAATTAACGTATATTACTGCCGCAGGTTTTGTTCACACCACCAATTCTTACGACACAGTATAAAAAATTAACGGTGCTTGGAATTCTAGAATAATGTCAAACCATTTGTTAAATGTAAGTAAATCTGCACTTTATGTTTCAAAATAAACTTAAGAAGGATATGTAAAAAATATTGTAATTATTTTCATATTTTCTTCTAGTGGCCTTATCCCAGAAGTGAAATTACTCATTAAAGCACTGTATGCCCTAACCACAAAATGCCGGTATCCTAATTTGCTGTCTGTGCAGTATTAATTTGTCAATCTAGTTCAGTGGTTCTCAACCTTTTTAATGCCGCGACCCCCAACCGGTCGTAAGTCGAGGATTACTCAACCGGTCGTAAGTCGAGGACTACTCAACTGGT